AATAATATAAAATCAGTTTAAGATAAATAGAACATTCTAGTACGAGGTGCCATATAACAGAGAAACAAATTCATAACAATAATTAAAAGGTTCTGTGTCAAGCTAGCTGTGATTTAATTTTTGCTTACTTTGTTTTTTATTGCAATTTATACTTTTGCTGAACAAACTAATATGTTAGTAGTTTTGGGTTATTATGAAGGAAATTGTTGTGCTACTGTTCGAACATATGCTGAAAGATTTCCTAATCGAAGAACTCCAAATCACAAAATATCTGCTAATGCGGAGAGACGCCTTCTGGAAACAGGACGTTTTTTACCTGTAACATTAAATCGTGGATAATGTACGGCCGGAGTTATTCAGCTGGAGGAACGAATTTTGGAAAGGATCGAAGAAATTCCTCAAGTAAATAAAAGGCGTTTAGCGGCAGATATTGGCTTTCAAAAAGTTCCTTTAATAAAGTATTAAAAGACCAGTTATTACAGGTTACAGGTATTACAGGGTACAGGTAGGTATTACAGGGTACAGGTAGGTATTACAGGTTATTAAAGGTCTAACATGTGGATAGGAGAGGAAATAATGCCCTTTTAAAATGGCCACCTCGATCCCCGGACCTAAACCCATGTAATTATTTCATTTGGGGAGCGTTGAGGACCGCATTTTAAAATAACTTTTCAGTAAATACAGAAAACGAATATGGGAAAGAATACAACTTGAAATTAATGTTATGAGAGGTAATGCAACATTATTGGATAATTTCTAATTTTCGAAGAACTAATGTTTGCGTTGAAGAACAAGAAAGTAACTTTCAGCATTTACTGTAATATTATCTTAATGTGATTACAAATATCAGTTTATTTAAAATGTTAATGTTGACTTTCTTACATTATTAGTTGATATTGTTTATTTAAAATATTAGTGTTGATTTTTATTTTATTGATTGATACTACTAATACCAAAAATGTGTAGTTATTTTTTTTAATGTGACGTTTTTTCATTATTATTTCCTGCTTTGAGGCTGCAGTTATAAATTATTTTATTTAAATCGGAATTTTTGCCTATATTTAAAGTATAAAAAATGCGAATTTTACTCGAGAGCCATAAACGATATCGAAATTTTGTAAGAGCAAAAAAATCTTCTAAAATAGTGCTTATTTTTAAGAATATAAATTCTGTCGTCATTGGCATACACACAAAAAAGTTATGGGATAGCCAGTGGCGCACAGGGACTAGAAATAGATCATCCTGTATATGTATTATCTCCAAATTCTATATTTACCTTGCCCTTATATAAAAAAATAAGTGTATCAAATTTGAAGTTTCTAAGAAAAATAGTTTTCAAATTATTTGAAAACAATAGGTTATCTATTCTATATTTAGAAGGCTATATCTCAGTAGGCGTGCACTTTTGTATATAGGTAAGTTAGGCTAAATAGTCTTATTTTCATCCAAGGAATCTGTGGTCGAGAGTTGTCTATCCTTTTCAGGGACACCCTGTAGAATTGTGCATTAACGGTTTGGCCTGGTGGAACGAACTCTTTGTGGACAATGCTCCCTCCAAACGAGATTTTTTTTTTAATTTTGACGCCTTCCATTCGACACTTTGGCGCTTGGTTTCTGGATCATATTGAAAACACGAATGTTGAATTCTGAGCAATTTTCGATAGTCAGTTAACTTGTGCGGAACAAATCATGCTCTTTTCAGTAACTCAAATGTTCGTCCAAAATGGGATAAATTGATGTTTTAGAGATGCTCAATTCTAATTCCATAAATTTCAATGAAAATTTTGGCTGATCTTTTATGAATTCATGCACATTTTCGATGGTCTGCGGTGGTCACGGATTTCGATTGGCCAATAATTTGCTCATCATGTAAGTATATCCTCACGGCCGTTTCTAAACCCGTATACCACTCATAAACTCTGCGACGGGATAAACATTCATTACCATAATCTTGATTCATCAATCAGCTTTACCAAGTTTAAAACAAAACTTAATATTAGCTCTTTGTTCGATGCTCATTTTTGTACCGATGCCGATGACACAAACATCACTTCAGACGCAATAGATCTACTTCTATTCATCCAAATGTCATGAAATTTTGACAATGAAGGATCTAACTTTCTGAGGCATGTAATTTCCAATAGATAATCTTACTAGGAATACCTATTTTTGAAAAGTCCTGTTTGTTTTGGAACGCACTTTGTATTATCAACACTACAAATGTTATGTTGTTTGAAACTTTTACTACTGATGTTTAAATTGTAGTTGTTCCGTCTTTAAACGAACCAATTCCTGGCTGGATTGAAAACTTCAATGGCCCAGTGGGTCTGCTCTGTGGTGGAGGAAAAGGTGAATAAAAAATTATATTTAACATTACTACTATGAATAATGTCAAGCTTCAATCAAACGAAAATAATTTTATTTGTTTGGATTACATTAACTAACCCCTTGTAAAGAAAAGAAAGATCATTTTCACATACTCGTAAATATAATTTAATAATTGAATGAAGAAATGCCGGAGCAAATTTATCTTTTTTTATGAAATTATTTCCATTCTGTGGTGATTAATATTTTGAGATATTCTGTTTTAAATAGAAACAAAAATGTATTAATAAAGCATATTAAAAAATAGTAAAACACCTGTTTAATATTACATTTCTAGGTGTATTAAAAACATGTTATGGAGAAGAAAATTCCACTTTTGATTGGATTCCAGTGGACATTTTAACAAAATTGTTAATCCTGATTACCTACGAAAAGGCATTATCTAAGTAAGTTTCATTAACATTAATTTTAAACATTTTATAGAAAAAAAGATAATCCTTCAGAAATCATTCCTCGTTATAAAAAAATAACTTATGGTAACAATGTCCTTTATTTTAGGTAAATTTACATACTTAGTTGTTCTCTATTCAACTCTTTAATTCTAACTGACTTGTCCTTATTATTTATTCCTACATCGAACTACCATGTTTATATAAAGGTGAACAATCACACTATTCAGCGTTTCAAGACATGAAGACTTATTGAAAATTATTTAAAATTTGTAAAAAATATACCTATTACTTATATGGATTAAAAATGTTATCGTCCTATACAGGGTGTCACTTTATGTGGGGATCGGTTTTTTTATTTATTTATTTAAAGTACAGCTACACAGACAGATACAAATCCAATTAGAGTAAATACCACAGAGAATGTCAGGGCAGTCTGTATACGGGCACAACAGAAAAAGTATGAAAAAGTAGACCCAACGCAAGACCAACTCTTAAAGTTAAATCTATTTAGCTTTAGTCCGACAAATGCATTAAAGAGGGGTAGAAACATCCCTAAAATATCGTGAATTCCTCATAATAAAAACAAAACCCAAATTCTTGTAGTAGTTAGATATAGTATACTCGATAGAGGAACAAAAGTCAGTTTGCATCCAAACACCCAGATCTTTAAATTGCAAGTGTCAATTAAAAATAATATTATTTATATTAGTCAAACTGAATAGCAACTTTTTTTTCTTGTAAAACTCACAACGTTAGACTTGGAGACATTTAATGGCAACTTATTATTTTGGCACCATAAATTTATTTCGACAACTCTTGTAAATGATAACGATCTTGAAATGTATCAATATGTAGATGCAAATAGGTTCATGTCGTCAGCATGTAAGAGGATATACATCTGAATGTCTTGAAATATATCATTTACACAGTGCATTCATGATGAAAGGAACAAATTCGTTTAAAATTCAGGTAATTATTTTGTGGAAAACCGCTCGGACACGTCGATTAGTATTTTTAGTTGCGGAATTTTCGACATAAGAAAGTTGTATACAGGATATCTCAAGAAGAACATATGCAGTCATCATTGATTTTTGTTAATGGAACACCCTGTATATTATGCCATTTTTTAATTGGATGGTAAATTCTGAACACCACTTATTGTACAACATACCATATCTCTAAAATGAGCGATTTTCGTAATAATGACGTTTGAAATGTGATCAATGGATAAAAAAATGTTTAATCATAAAACATTATTTAAATAACAATTGCTTTATAACAAATGTCAATGTTTTGTACGTTTACTTCAATACATTTTTGAAGTCGAAGGATTGTTTCCCGTTGAACGTTTTCAGTTACCTCTGCTCGAATAAGGGTTATTTCCTGGCGTATTCTCTGTTTCAGGTCATCAAGATTATTTGGTCTATTGACAAAAAAATCTAAAGGGGTTAAATCCAGTGACCTTCGTGGCCACTCAATATGACCTCTGCGTCCAATCCATTTATTGGGGAAAGTTAACTCAAGAAATTGTCGAACAGCAATTGCAAAATGAGGAGGTGCCCTATTGTGTTAGAACCATGTCATTATAAGGTATATCTGGATCTTGTGGATTAGGAAACACAGCAGCTAAAGCGGGATGAGTTCAAACTGAAGAATGTCTAAATAGCGTTCTCTATTTAAATTTTCTTCAAAAAAATAAAGTTCAAGAATTCGGTTTTCGACAATACCTGCCCAAACATTTATTTTTCGACGATGTTGTGTTGTGCCAGACTGATGACCAACGAAGATTTTCAGTTGCCCAGTACTGCAGTTTTGTCTGCTTACGTGTCCATTTAAAACAAAAGTAGCCTCATCAGAAAAAACAATCTTTCGAGTGGAATCTAAGTTTTGATTATTCATTATCTGCTCATAAAACTGCGTTCTTCGGTCAAAATCGCCTTCTAATAGTTCATGTATCAATTCAACCTTATAAGGATAATATTTATTTTTTCGGAGTATTTGTGACTGTGTCCCGATGACAAATTACAATTCCTGGAGATTGTCCTAACGGCTACATGGGGATTATTTACAGTTTCTAGTAAAACGTCTAGTTTAGAATCTTCTGATATTTCTGCTGGTCTTCCTTTAGCTAAATCTCTAATAGTCCACAGTACAGGCCCCCTCTGGAAAGTTGATTACCACATACTTTATAACTCCTGAGGAGCTTCGTTTTGACGAGTCTACGATATTTTTCTTCTGCGACTTTTCTCGATTCCTCCGCTTTTCCGTTCGGAAAAGTCCAAAAACATGGCAATTTCCCGGGGTCTTGAAAACTCAAGACCACATCTTTTATTTTTAGCTTAAGTAACTGGAAATTTTGTTGCAAATGCCGATTTAAATTTGTCCGACAGAAATTCCTCCGACATTGACGTGTCTACCGGTCGAAACATGCCAAAATAACAGGGTATTGAAAATCAATTACCACATAGGTAATTTTTAGTAAAATTAATTGTAAATAATTAATTCAGTCAAAAAGTATTGTTGTCCGACAAATTTCAAGCCGCGTTTTTTCAGTCCGACAGCTGGAAATCGGAATTTTCACGGGGTATGAAAAATCGATTACCACATATCTAATTTTCATTTTTTCCACTTTTAAATTTACTGTACAAAATAGTGATATAAGTGTCCGACGATTTAATGTCCGCAAATTATTAAAAAATCAATAAATCAATAAACGTGATGAAATTTAATTTTTTCACTCCAAAAATTTCATATTTATAAATGGTTATTAATTATTATTATGTAAATTATTATTTGTTTCAAATAAATAATTATAATATTGCTTATTTTATGCTTAAAAATTTAAAAGTTATAAACAAATGAAGTTATTTTTGAGGCGATTAATACGATCTTAGTGCATAATGCATTATTTCTAAATAAATTAATATTATACTTGATATAAAAATCCTTTTTTCTCTTTCAAGTTTTCATTCGCGTTTGTTATTTTTCTTTACAAAAATTTTCCTATTTTTCTAAAAGAAAATCCCAAAACTTTTGTGCATAATTTTTTTACACCATACATACTTTTTTGAAATCGTTTAATTCTTTTCTCGATATTTATTTGGCTAAATTGAGCATATAGAGATTTACAATTACAAGAATAAAACGAAAAATATATACAGGGTGTTTCAGAAAGACCTCCCGTAAATAAAGGGGGTGATAGTATGATAAAAAATGAGAATTTTTTGTCTTATGAACTCTATGTCTATCTCCTCTTGTTTTCGAGATACAGAGAGACAAAATAAAATTTTTTAAATAACATTTTTATGAAAATTTCCAAATAGTGCGAAATATTTTTATGAAATTTGGTAGCCCGAGGTTTTTAAGGGTGCCAAATACGCTAGTCTAATTATTTTTTGTATATTTCATAGAAAGCGCTAGTTATGCTACATTCTTATTACAATTTAAGTTATATTTTTTTTAAGGTTAGGTTTTTTACCAGTCGGGCTCTAATTTCTATTGTACAATTTTATTTTCTAAAAATAATGCACTCTTGTTAGAACTTCCTAATGTGGACGATTTTCGAGAAAAAAGGCTTTTAATTAAACTCTTACAATATTACACTATAAAATAAGTGACTTTTCTCAAAGTAAGCTTGAGCTTTGAGAAGAGGAGATAGACATATAGTTCATATGACAAAAAATTCTTATTTTTTGTCGTCCTCACCCCCTGTATTTACGGGAGGTCTTTCTGAAACACCCTGTATTGTATATTTATATGGAATTTTGCTTAATACATGAAAATACCTTATTAGAAATTATAAATACATGTGCACATTTTTTACGAAATTTTTTTCATCATTTTTTGTCGGACTGACGATTTGCGGATATATTTTTGTCGGACATTACAATTTTTGCTTATAAAAAACACTTTTCTATCGTGTGTTATTTTTGTCCGACATGTGGTAATCGATTTTTCATACCCCGTGAAAATTCCGATTTCCAGCTGTCGGACTGAAAAAACGCGGCTTGAAATTTGTCGGACAACAATACTTTTTGACTGAATTAATTATTTACAATTAATTTTACTAAAAATTACCTATGTGGTAATTGATTTTCAATACCCTGTTATTTTGGCATGTTTCGACCGGTAGACACGTCAATGTCGGAAGAATTTCTGTCGGACAAATTTTAATCCGCATTTGCAACAAAATTTCTAGTTACTTAAGCTAAAAATAAAAGATGTGGTCTTGACTTTTCAAGACCCCGGGAAATTGCTATGTTTTTGGACTTTTCCGAGTGGAAAAGCGGAGGAATCGTCAAAAGGATGCTCCTCAGGGCTTATAAAGTATGTGGTAATCAACTTTCCAGGGGAGCCTGTACTGTGGACTATAACGTGACCGTGCTCAGCAAATTTCAATTCAATTTTACTGATGGTAGATCTAGTAATTGGAGGTCGATAAGGATGAATTACATTAAATAAATTATACACTTCTTGCTGAGTTCAAGGAGAAGTGCATCGACCACTATCCGCTGCAGCGGCTCCAAACTCAAAACACAGAGGCCGTGGCGATAGCGGTGAGATCGCTACGGCATGGAGACGTTGCGGTGGTGTCCTGTTACCACCCACCCAGACTACCACTACTTGACAATGACTTAGACAAAATCCTTTCCTGGCCCCAGACAATTGCCATCGGGGACTTCAACGCGAAGTCCCCCATATGGCACAGCGGGACGACGACCACAAGAGGTCGCGTCCTGCTGAATTACCAAGACAGACACGACGACTTGACTATACTCGGACCGACAGAACCGACACATTACGGACCCGTAGGACGCCCCGACGTTATCGACATTGCCCTCTTAAAATCTATACCGTTAAATGCCCAAATATCCACCCAATACGAAGGGTCTTCCGCCCACAATCCAATATTTCTGGATCTGGGGCGAAGACAGAGATATGAAGGCACCTTCACGAGGAGGTTCACTGACTGGGAGCGTTTCCGAACAGTAATGCAAGGAAACATGGCGCTCCCAGTCATCGAAACCACCCATGATCTGGAGGCGGCAATCCTCTCCCTTGAGACTGACATTAAAAACGCCCTGACTCAGACTACGACGGAGACTATTGTCCCCCGACTGACAAACCCCCGGGGCACCCTCCCCGATGACATAAAAAACTTAATACGTGACAGACGACGTGCGAAACGGCTTGCCACCCGCACCCGCCTCCCCCGACACAGACATGACTTAAACGTACTTAACAGACGGGTGAAGGCGGCTCTGGATGAACTGGCCCAGGATAACTGGGCTAGGCACCTGGAGTCGCTGGATCCACAAGACAACAGCCTCTGGAAAACGCAGAGGGCCCTGCGACAGACCGCTCGCCGTAAAATTCCTCCAATCCACGGTAGTGTGGGGGTGGTTTACACGAACCAGGAAAAGGTTGAGGCTTTCGCCGATAGCCTGGAACTGCAGTGTAGACTGCCTCAGCTGCCCGACGAAGACGAGGAATACGTTCTTTCTCATATAAATGCACTTTTAAAATGAAACGAAAAACTGACAAAATGACACTGACAAACTAAACGCCGGTTGGTTTTTATTGTCACAAAATACTACCTACATCAAAATGGTCTAGGGGTCAAGGAATGAAAAACGATTAATACAAAGAAAATTATTTTGTTTAAGATAAAATTTGGCATACCAGGTTGTTTTTATTGGCTTTTAAAAAAATTTTCAAGGTTGTCCAATTTTATTTAATTATTTGTGTGTATTTCAAGATATTAATTTTGAAACATCATTATTCCGAAAACCGCTGATTTTAGAGACATGGTATGTTCTACAAAAAGTGTTCAGAATTTACCGTACAATTAAAAAATGGCATAATATAAAGAATGTTCCACTAAAAAAAATCAATGATGACTGCATATGTTCTTCTTTACATCCTGTTTATAATTTTCTTGTCAAAAAATACGCAACTAAAAATGCTAATCGACGTGTCCGAGCGTATTTCCACAATAATTACCTAAATTTTAAACGAATTTGTTCCTTTCATCATGAATGCACGTACATCTACTATGCCATATCATTAATGGCCCTATTATGATAACACCGACCACGAGATTTTAACCTAACAACTCGAATATACTTCGTAAAGGATTTTGGTGCCCTGAATTCGAATTCGTGGTCTAAATTTCTCAAATGGCTCTGGTTTTCGAGATATCCTAACCTAAAAATGCCAAAATCGCGATTTTTTGGCATAGGTATTTGAAGTTATGTTACACGGAAAGGTAATTTTTTTCTGAAACCATTAATAGGGTCTTAAAGTACTATACTTACTCTTTAAAACGCATTTGGATTTGTCCCGATATCATTTTTCGTCTTTGAGAAATCGCATGTTGAAATTTAGTAATTAGACTTGATTTTTGAATATACAAACATAACACAGCATCACAAACTTTATGGGTTTATGGGCTTAGAGTTTTTGGGTTTATGAGTTCGGAATTGAGCGTATTAGCCCATTTTGCGTGTAAATGTATTTCCAGATTGATATAATGAGTAAAATATCGTATATCGAATTTTTAGAAATATTTTGAAGTTTATTACAAAATTTGACGTGATAGAGGATTTTGGAGTTCAGATTCATGACCCCAAAAACATGTAAGATCCCTAATTCCTGGTGTGGTGCTGTGTTGCAGGATGTTCAAAAATCGAGAAATACTACGTCAAACTACTTTTCAACATGCGGTTTCTCAAAGAGGAAAAATGATATCGGGATAAATCCAACTGCGTTTTAAAGAGTATTTTAAAACCCCATTAATGGTTTTAGCAAAAAAAATTGCCTATCCATCTGGAATAACCTCAAATATGTCGAAAATCGCGATTTTGGCAACCAGAGTCAATTGAGAAATTTGGACCTCGAATTGGAAAAGTTCATTCTAATTTCTAGGTTAGAGTGTCGGCCAAATTTTGTCGACCTGTGTATAATTCACTGAGTTAGGGATAATAGAGGTATTTTTTAAGTTATGTAATAATCACCAAATATTACCAGGATTAGATTTAATATGCGATTCCGCGATTAGATTTCTTACATTTTCTTTATTTTGTGTTTACATTATGCTGCAACACTAAACATGGCAAATATACTCAATTAATTAGTAAATAAAATTAACGGCATTTGAAAATTTACCTTTAAAATCATTTCAGTGACATAGATGAAATTCCAGTCTACAACGCTGCTGCTGGTGAGAAGACAGTCATGACCCACAAAGAATTAATGGATTATGGCCGAAAATCAATATGGGACGCCCCGTATACTAATTTACTTTGGTATCCCTCATGTTCTATGGTAAATAACTTATACAAGTTTTATGCGTATTTTCTTTTATATCATCTGATACCTGCATTACTGGTTGATGGTTTACTAAAAGCTTTTGGAAGGGAAACGATGTAAGTAAACCTTTCCTATTTTATAAAATACAGGGTGTCCCGACACCTCAGACTTTACCTCTACCTCAAAATAAGAAATAAGTTCGTATAGTATGTATATTTTTATGACTAGTTTTGGGTCGCAGAAATTAAAAACAAAAAATATGTCATTTATTTAAATATATCTCATAATGTTGGACGTAGATTGAAACTCTGGGTTATGAGCAAAAATTTGCTGAGACTATATATACAGGGTATTTTCAAAAAGAGCAGCACAAATGATTCAGGTAGTTTAGAAGACACATATATGGTCTCCTATTCAACTGAGAGTTTCGATAAAACGATACATTATACCGATTTTCAACATGTATACCTTTTTATGTAGAATTGTCCAGGGAATTTAAAAATGGACCCCAAAAGATTATTAGGTCATTGGCGTAGAAGTTGGGGTAAAAATGTTCCACTACTACCCATTCCTACGCCACTGACCTACGAAAATTTGTAAATTTTACAATAAATTATGCACATGTGTAAATGTTAACACCATACCAAATTTGAATCAATCTGTTGTAGGCATATCAAAGATTTTGTACATAATATGATTTTAACAACCGACCAATACGGCCCTGAACAGTGATAACGGTGAGACTTAGACCCTTGCTTTATAAGGCAATTCTAAATTATTTATTGAGTCCTATTTGCGGTTGAAGTTTGATTCACTCGAAGTGAAACACCCTGTATACTGGGTGTCTGGTAAGTATATGGCATACTCTCGGGAGTGTATGGGGGAGGTCAAAATTGTTAAATTTCTATTACAAATAATCACTCGGACTTCCTTCTCTCTCCTTTATTATCTTTAAAAAATACAAAACTATATTTTAACGGTTCAATAATTTTTTATGTCACTTTCTTTTTTATTTTATTTACAACTACTTCCTAGCAACATCTATCTTCTTTTTTCTATACATATATGATATAACAATAGTAAATATGAAAATATCAATATTGTTCTCAACACTCTTCCTCAATATTGATGTTTTCATTACATAAACCTAATTCTTTTGCTAATATTTTAAATGTAGTTTTACACAGTGGTTTGGTTAAGATATCAGCTAATTGTTGCTGGGTACAAATATATTTTACACTTATAACACCCTCTTCAACCTTTTGTTTCACAAAGTTAAACTTAATATCCATATGCTTTAATCGCTTTTGGTCACTATTTTTAACTGATTTTATTGTACTTTGATTATCTTCAAAAATGGTTACAGTATCTGTGCCGATGTTCAATTCTAATAACAATTTTTTAATCCAACATGCTTCCACTGAAGCTTCACATAACGACACAAATTCTGCTTCCGTTGTACTGAGTGCTACAGTACTTTGTTTTCTTGATTTCCAAATAACTGTATTATCATATACTTTAAACAAGAAACCAGAAGTTGACTTCCTATCTGTATCCCTAGTCCAATTAGTTTACAATAAGAGGTAAACTATTATTATTTTAAACATATTTTAACTTATAATTTACAGTACCTTTAACATATCGTAATATTCTTTTCAAAGCTTTCCATAGTTGGTCATTAACATTAATCTGAAACCTACTTATATAACAAACTGAGGTGGCTAAGTCAGGTCTTGTCCCCATTGTTACATACATCAATGAACCTATCAAAGATCTACATTTTCTTTCGCACAACTGATCAACGGTATCTGTTTCATCTAATTTTAAGTTAACATCCATTGGAGTATCAATACTGTTACAATTTGTCATACCGTATTTTTCCAAAATACTATGCAAATATCTTGTTTGATCTATATAAATGGAATCTGAACTTCGTGAAATTAATATGCCTAAATACATCAAGTCTTTATCACCCATATTTAGTAAATACAAATTTTTTTAATGAATTTATTTCATGTATACTATTTCCTAAAATTAATAAGTCATCAACATACAACAATAAATACAAATCACCTTTCGTATATAAGCAAAAATCATTCTCAGATCGTTTAAAACCGTAACTTGTAATAGTCTCACTAAAACACTTATACTTTGGCGATTTCTTTAGTCCATACAACGACTTATTTAATTTTAAAACATGTCCTTCTCTGACATTCAGTCCAACCGGTGGTTTTAAGTATACATCTTCATCAATCTTACCATGCAAAAAGGCTCCTTTTACGTCCATCTGATGAATGTAATAGTCACGTTGAACTGCAACAGACAGTAGTATTCTCAAAGTTTGAAGCCTCAATACAGGTGAGTACACATCATCAAAATTTCCTTGCTGTTGGAACCCTCGAACTACTAATCTTGCTTTACACAGCTTATTACTTCCTATTTATTTTCTTGTAAAAACCCATTTACATTCTAAAGTATATATGTCACCTTTTTGTGGTACAACATCCCAAGTTTGACTTTCATGTAATACTTCTATCTCTTCATCTATGGCTTTTTTCCACAATTTCTTTTATCTTCCCTTAAATCTATATCTTCATAAGTTAACGGAATATCATTTTGTTGACAGGTTAATAATGCAAACATTGCTTCATCATCGTCATTAAAATCTGTTTCATAATCATCTTGCCATTTTGGTTTCTGTCGATTTCTTTTTTTTCTTGTTTCCTCTTCTGCATTCTTCTCTTTCTTTTCCTGAATATCAATATTTCCCTCATTAACCAATTCACTCTTATTTTCTTCCATATTTATCTGCATAATTGGCATACTTACAGTCTCTTCCTTTTTGTAGTCTTTTTCATCAAATATTACATTTCGAGCAGCAACAATTTTACGGTTCTCTTCATCCCATAATTTATATCCTCCTGAACAGTAGGTATTTTCCCTTTTGCATCAAGCTTGTGTCTTAGCTCCTTTGGTACATGATTATATGCAGTGCTACCGAAAACTCTTAAATGTGCCACATTTGGAATTTTTCCTTCCCATAGTTCACTAGGTGTATTGGCCTTTGATACTGTGGGACTTCTATTTGTCACATATGCTGAATAGTAAATAGCTTCACCCCAAAATTCTCTTGGTAAATTGGAATCCAATAATATAGTTAGAGCTTTATCCATTAAAGTCCTGTTCATTCGTTCAGCCACTCCGTTCATCTCTGGATTATATGCCACCGTCTACTGTAATCTTATGCCTTTTTCTCTACAAAATTCTTGAATTTCTCTTGATATATATTTGTTAAATTTCTATTAAAAATAATCACTCGGACTTCCTTCTTTCTCCTTTATTATCTTTTAAAAATACAAAACTATATTTTAACAGTTCAATAATTTTTTATACGTCACTTTCTCTTTTATTTTATTTACAACTACTTCCTAGCAACATCTATCTTCTTTTTTCTATACATATATGATATAACAATAGTAAATATGAAAATATCAATATTGTTCTCAACAAAAATAACTCTAGTTTGTCATAAAATAAAATTCCTAAAGTGCCCCTTAACGAAGATACAGAGACTCAAAGGGGTACCCAGCGATTTACCTTTTCGGTTCTAATTTTTGAACCGACTTGTATAATTTAATGAAATTTTAATATTTTATGTAGACCACAAAGGCTCATAAAGCCATTCTGCAGTAGATATTTTACACTGTCAGAGAAGTCAGGAACGGACTTGCCACCACGCTCGTTGGGCCAAAATTTTGACAGGTGTCATGAATTTTTAAATACTTTGGTCATTCCTCTTTAAAAAGGTACTTTACATTTGTTTCGATAAAATTAGCCGTTTTCGAAAAAAATCAGTTTTTGTATATCACGTCATTGAAAAAATAAATCAGAATTCTGCAATAAAACACTAGTCGTTTTTATGTCGTTATTGACAACACTTGTAAAAATTGTCTGATTGATTGAGTACATAAAAATAAATAATAGAGCATTATTCCTATAACGAATATGCTGACATGCGTCTAATTTATGGACAAGCACTCGGCAATTGTGTTGAGGCAAGAAGAATTTATTCTGATACATTTCCAAATCAACGTTTCGTAGCTTACGAGAAAGAGGTAAACACTCAAGTGAAATTAAAAAATGCTAAAAGTAGCTAATCATTTGCTAATACATTTTAAGAAGTTTTTTGCCGCATCGTGGCAGAGGAGGGGCCTTCAAGAAGAGCAAGGAACCTTCAGTTAGAAGAGGAAATTCTGGATGAGATTGCTGAAAATCCCTCCAATAGTGTAAGAAAGTTGTCGGTCCAAGTTCATGCGACAAAGTAGACCGTTCATGAGATCCTTCCAGAACAACTGCTACATCCTTATCACGTCCAAAAGGTACATGAAATGTCTCCTGCATGAGTCAATTACGCAAATTGGTTTTTGCAACGATTTAGGTAAAATACAAATTTTATTATTATTATTTTGTTCACGGACGAAGTCAGTTTCAATCGAGACGGAGTAATGAATTGCCATAATTTGCATATCCGACATGAAGAAAATCCCCATGCAATAGTACAGACAAAACACCAACAAAAACTCAAAGTTAACATATGGGCGGGAATTACTGGGAATCATCTCAGTGGATCGTTCTTTTTTGAAGATATTAAATGGTGCCATGTATTTGCAATTCTTGCAACAAAGCTTAAATGATTTATTAGAAAATGTGCCCTAGAAATTAGAAATCAGATTTAGTTCTGTCAGCACTTATCAAATGTTTTTGGTTATCAGTAAATTGGTCGAGATGAGCCTATTTTATGGCCACCGAAGTCGCCCGATACGACTCCATTGGATTTCTTTTTATGAAGAAATTTAAAGAGGCTTGTGTATTCGACGCCAGGTTACACCAGGAAAAACCTGCTGTTAGAAAAAATAGCACACCATTGCAACGAAATTCGAGATAATTTTGGAATATTGTTTCTAGTACAACGAGAAAACATCTGTCGGATAAGGAAATGTAAAAAGCGATCATTTTGGAAATCTGCTGTAATCAAGAAGAAGCAAAACATTCGAATTTTTAACACCCTTGCGTTTAAGTGATTTGGAAATGTATCAGAATAAATTCTTCTTGTCTC